TTTCTTATATCTAACCTAAATCTGCCCTCGTAGAAGAAGCCCGCAGCGAAAGGTGGCAAAAAAAAGAAGCAGGTGTTGAAGTTCACCCTGGATTGCACCCACCCCGTGGAGGATGGCATCATGGACGCCGCCAACTTTGTGAGTGTTTCTTATATCTAACCTAAATCTGCCCTCGTAGAAGAAGCCCGCAGCGAAAGGTGGCAAAAAAAAGAAGCAGGTGTTGAAGTTCACCCTGGATTGCACCCACCCCGTGGAGGATGGCATCATGGACGCCGCCAACTTTGTGAGTGAGGGGCCTCCCCGCTGCCGTGCTGGAGGCCGAGGCGGGCGCTGGTTTTAAACGCTTTGTAGCTACAGTGCACGCGCTTTCCCTGCCTGCGGAACGCTGTTCCTGCTCATCCCTCGGGGGTGCGTTTCCCATGGCGCCGTGAGGAACGGCAAGCGCAGGGAGTGCAGCATCCCAGCGCTGCCTGAGGAACCCGTTTTCGTTCAAACTCTGCTCGAGGACGGGCTCGAAGCACAGGCTGTGTCCGAGGTGTCCTCGGAGAATCCGAACCCAGCCATCACTCCGCTGGCTTCCCGCTCGGGAGGCAGGAAACACGTCCCTGTCTCACGATCCGATGCGTTTGGGCGTGAGAAGCTCACTCACACGCAGGTCTGGATTGGGTGCTTGGGATAGCGCTGGCAGGCTCGGAGCCTCAGCCTGCGGGAAGGCGGCTTTCCTCTGCTTCCCTTGGGCATGACGGCTCGTCTCGCTCTTCCCCATCCCCACCAAAAAGCTGGAGTGCTGGGCGCAGGCGAGCTGCGGAGGCCTTGGCCGGTGGGAGCTGGCGACCTGGCTGAGCGGCAGCGTTCCTCTCTTGCAGGAGCAGTTCCTACAGGAGAGGATCAAGGTGAATGGCAAAGCAGGAAACCTGGGCGGGGGCGTGGTGACTATCGAGAGGAGCAAGAGCAAGATAACAGTCACGTCAGAGGTCCCATTCTCCAAGAGGTGAGGCGGTGGGGCAGCCCCAC